TATTACTCAATAGCAGTATGACATAAAGTGATTCTGACACCTCAGGAACAAACTACAGATTGTCTCCTTTCAAAAGAGACCAAAACCATGCATATACTCCAAATGGTTCAAGAGCAGCATGCAATTTATTTTGGATATGCCTTTTTCACAAATTTTAGGCAAAATTTGTAGGACTGCTAAGGGGTTTTAATACAGTATGTCAAAATGAAAACATAACTGTAAATTCAGACATGTGAGGTTGTGCTGACAAGGATGATACCAAACTAGGCAAAGTAAATAGTTTTTAAAGGTAAAATGTGGAGGGAAAACCAAAAGTAGTTCAAAATGGCCAATTATACCCTGGACCCAGAGGGTTAAACGTTTTTTTTAAAGTAACACAATAGTTACTTTTCAAGTAATTAATTACTTTTAGAATATTGTAACTAAGTTACTAACTCAGTTACTTTTTTGAAGAAGTAGTAACTATAATTAATTACTTTTTCAAAGTAACTTGCCCAACACTGCTTCCAACTACGTAATGATTTTTGTTATTGCTTTTGTTGTTTTTTCATTTATTGTCTATTAATTGTAGTTGTATTTATGATGTATTTTGGTTTTATGAAAATATATGTTTTATTGTAAAATGTATGTATTGTGATTGTAAGACCAACAAGGGACAATGGTTGTTACTAGGATAGCAATAGCTATAAACTTATGTGTGTTACATCAGTTTCATGTTTTGTACTTGGACTATGTTAAACTGCACAGTCCTTTTTAAAGAAATAAAACAATAAAAGCCACAAATACCATTCTGGTGTAATATAAATAGAATTGAACTGGATTGAAAAATTCCTTGATTCCTTTAAAAAAATCCTTGCCATATATATAAATATTTCAGGTCTAAAAAATGGTATATAGCTGTTGAAAGAAAGAGGGGCATCCTAGTTAATGGAAAACGCAAGACATAGGTGAAGGAAAGCGATTTCACAGTTTTTCTGTGATTGCCTTGTAGCCTTCCCTGACAATTTCACTATTTGGAATTCTTAAACTTCCTTTCTTGTAAGTGTGATGGATATCACCTTAACACTGTTTCAGAATGTCCAAAAGCAGTCATGTCATGCTGTGGAATTCTTCAAAGGTTGTAGCAATGCTACATGGTGACCTTAATCTGACATTAATATTCAAAAATATCCCATATAGGCAATGAATTTTGTATTCTGAATGCGATTATAGGCAGCATGGTGGCACGGTGGTTAGCACTGTTGCTGCACAGCAAGAAGGTCCTGAGTTCAACTCTTTCTGTGTGGAATTTGCATTTTCTCCCCGTGTTTGTATGGGGAGCGTGAACGGTTGTCTGTTTCTGTGTGTTAGCCCTGCAACAGACTGGCGACCTGTCCGCGGTGTACCCCGCCTCTCGCCCTATGACAGCTGGGATAGGCTCCAGCGCCCCCCGCGACCCTAAAAAGGATAAGTGGAAGCGAATGGATGGATGGATGGATGGATGAATAAATGAGATTATATACCTTAGAAGACATTATCCTTTGCGCTAAGGCAATGCAGATGGATTGGTTCGTATATAGTGCTTTTCTACTCTGAGCTCCACTCAAAGAGAGAGCAACCTGGGGTTAATATCTTGCCAAAGGATATTTGGCATGCAGACTGGAGCAGACTAGGATTGAACCACCAACCTTCAGGTTAGTCGGTGACCTGCTCAACCACCTGAGCTTACAGCCACCCCCCTTAAGTGCCATCTATACACTATGATTGTGATATGTGAGCGAGTGATATGATTCACTCGTTGCACATTGCTTGCATTGGTTGCTAGTACACATTCCAGTTTCCTATGCCAAAAGTGTCAGTCAACATTTTCCTTTGATCTCATTAGGTCTCAATTTAAGTGGTTGCCTCAAAGTTAGGAAACTTTTAATTTAAAACCATTTTCTTTTCAAATCACTATTTATTCCATCAGGCATCACTAGACGTCACATCTTAAATGTCTGTGACTCACTGTTATGAATAGCTGCCTGCCCCTTATGGATTCAAAGATTATGTACCTGCTGCCTCCAGGTATCCAATTACTGACCTTCAAGTTCTTGAACTTCAATTCCAGCTTTCTTGACAGAATGATGCAACTCTTGAAAATAAAAGGTAATAATTAAAACAAAAAAAATAATGTATACAACCTAGTACTACTGTTCATCTGCAAAGCCAACAAAGAAGCAACAATAATTCAAGTCTTATAAGTCCAAAATAAATTAATCAATCAAAATTGGACTTAATACCCAAACATACTGTATGATAGATTTTGCTAGAACAATTAAAAGTTGGCAGCATTATTTTGATGAAGATAAACTTACTCTCTGTTGTAAACTTGTAGACGGATTTGCTGCTGGCATCCCCAACAAAAACACTGCCATCCCTAGTTTCAGCTATATCGTGAGGCATTTTGAACTCCTGCAATTGAAAGAGAAATACAAGTCACTTAAATTCTAGACAACATAATGACCCACCATTAAACTTCTTAGTAGTTTAAGATGGGTCACATTATTGTGTGGTCCACACAGTAATGTGTGAACCACACACATTATTGTGTGGTTCAGAATGTACGCAATACTTTGGACAACTGCAAACAGATTTAGCTAAAATTTTGTTAACACTGGGATGACGGAAACTCAAGAGTTTTCTATTGCAGGAAAAGCATTAACTTAAACTCTTATCATGGTAATAGAAGCTGAACTGAATCTGCTCATTTCCAGGTTTTCTTCAACAAACTGACTCTTGTTCACTCTTTCAATGATATTGTGGCCCCGGGGCATTGTTGGAGGCAGAGTGGTTCAAGGTTAGGTGTGTTCACGGGGATGTTCACTGTAGTATCCTACAGTGCCATTGCTTATTAAATTTAAGGGCAAAATGCATACAGTGAAAGCTGCAGTTGGTTCGCACTTATTGCATTTCCTGATTCCGGGAACTGGCCCGGGTTTAATAACCTGTTGGGCCATTATGTGACAATGCGACCATGACAGTGTAGTGTCTGCACTGTCCTGGTCCTAGGTCATTTGACCCAGTGTTTTAAGTTTTCTTGTGTTTTGATTTTGTATTGTTATTTATGTTTAGCTCCACTTTATTACTCTTGAGTTTATTCTGTAGTGTCTACGTGGTTTTGTTTAGCTTTTTGATTATAGATTGCCTCTTTTGTCTTTGCCCTTTATGTCTCTCTCTGTGTGTAAGTCTTTGTATATTTTGTCTGAGTTCTTGTGTCTGGTTTCCCTTCCCTTCTCATGTTTCATTCTATCGTCCCCCTGCTTGTGATGTTTATCAATGTTTCCCCAGTCTGTCATGTTTCTCTCGTCTCCTCTCACACTCCCTCGTGCTCTTTCGTGTTCCTTTGCTTCCTCTCGTCTGCCTCTCCTTCACTCCCGTGTCATGTTCCTCAGTTTCCTGTTTTGTCATGCAGGCCTTATGTCAAGAGATTTTTGTTTTTATATAATTTGATCAGCTTCATGAAATGTGTTTTTCTGTTTTTTAAGCAATCTACATGTCTATGTGACTTTTCACCTAATAACTTTGTGATGAACTTATTCAGCTACTAAAACCACTTCCCGTTTTTAGAGAACAGATGTAGAAAAGGGAAATAACCCGAAGCTATAATCTTAAGTGTGCATGTGCTGATTCTGAGTGACGTTATTTTTACAGCACCAGCACTAACAAACACACACATCACACACACACACACACACACACACCACACACACACACCACACACACACACACACACACACACACAGATATAAGACCTATAAATAAAGAATGCAGGCAGTGGCCAGCCGCAGATCTCAGAAGTGACTGCCCACGCGTGTAAAGACGAGTGCAGTCTTTGTGTTTTCTAACTCAGGTGTTTTAGCTGAAGAATTACAGGGTGATTTAAAGAAATCCCCTGTCACCTTACATTTTCATGTTTGGTGTGTCTAGTTTTACTTGCCCTGTGGTGTCATGTTAATTCTTGTCAGCTGTGTCCCCCGTGTGTTCTCACTTTTCTCATTAGCCTTCTGTTTGTATACAGTGGCTTGCAAAAGTATTCGGCCCCCTTGAACTTTTCCACATTTTGTCACATTACAGCCACAAACATGAATCAATTTTATTGGAATTCCACGTGAAAGACCAACACAAAGTGGTGTACACGTGAGAAGTGGAACGAAAATCATACATGATTCCAAACATTTTTTACAAATAAATAACTGCAAAGTGGGGTGTGCGTAATTATTCAGCCCCCTTTGGTCTGAGTGCAGTCAGTTGCCCATAGACATTGCCTGATGAGTGCTAATGACTAAATAGAGTGCACCTGTGTGTAATCTAATGTCAGTACAAATACAGCTGCTCTGTGACGGCCTCAGAGGTTGTCTAAGAGAATATTGGGAGCAACAACACCATGAAGTCCAAAGAACACACCAGACAGGTCAGGGATAAAGTTATTGAGAAATTTAAAGCAGGCTTAGGCTACAAAAAGATTTCCCAAGCCTTGAACATCCCACGGAGCACTGTTCAAGCGATCATTCAGAAATGGAAGGAGTATGGCACAACTGTAAACCTACCAAGACAAGGCCGTCCACCTAAACTCACAGGCCGAACAAGGAGAGCGCTGATCAGAAATGCAGCCAAGAGGCCCATGGTGACTCTGGACGAGCTGCAGAGATCTACACTCAGGTGGGGGAATCACCTAACAACTATTAGTCGTGCACTGCACAAAGTTGGCCTTTATGGAAGAGTGGCAAGAAGAAAGCCATTGTTAACAGAAAACCATAAGAAGTCCCATTTGTCCCAAACTAACACTGCACATCACTCTGAACACACCATCCCCACTGTCAAATATGGTGTGGCAGCATCATGCTCTGGGGGTGCTTCTCTTCAGCAGGGACAGGGAAGCTGGTCAGAGTTGATGGGAAGATGGATGGAGCCAAATACAGGGCAATCTTGGAAGAAAACCTCTTGGAGTCTGCAAAAGACTTGAGACTGGGGCGGAGGTTCACCTTCCAGCAGGACAACGACCCTAAACATAAAGCCAGGGCAACAATGGAATGGTTTAAAACAAAACATATCCATGTGTTAGAATGGCCCAGTCAAAGTCCAGATCTAAATCCAATCGAGAATCTGTGGCAAGATCTGAAAACTGCTGTTCACAAACGCTGTCCATCTAATCTGACTGAGCTGGAGCTGTTTTGCAAAGAAGAATGGGCAAAGATTTCAGTCTCTAGATGTGCAAAGCTGGTAGAGACATACCCTAAAAGACTGGCAGCTGTAACTGCAGCAAAAGGTGGTTCTACAAAGTATTGACTAAGGGGGCTGAATAATTACGCACATCCCACTTTTCAGTTATTTATTTGTAAAAAATGTTTGGAATCATGTATGATTTTCGTTCCACTTCTCACGTGTACACCACTCTGTGTTGGTCTTTCACGTGGAATTCCAATAAAACTGATTCATGTTTGTGGCTGCAATGTGACAAAATGTGGAAAAGTTCAAGGGGGCCAAATACTTTTGCAAGCCACAAATGCAGAGTTGTCTGAAACCAACTCCGGGGAAGAGTAGGATGATTCACCCCACGGAAGATTTCCACTAGAGCAGGCTTGTGACGACACCCTACACCTGAGCTTTTGACCAAGGGATTGAAATTGATGGTAACTTTGTGCGCCCTGAAGCCATGTAGACACATGCTTTGTATTAAATAATTTATCGAGTAAGTCGTGACACTCGCATATGGGTAATGACAAAACTTGGGGGCGAATAATGGCCTGATTTTATTGGCCAGGCATCCAGGCGAATTTGTGCCGGTGGTGTGCATCCTGCCTGGAGCGTCAGATAGTTAAAAATCCCGCCATTCCAAAACCCCCTTTGCTCTCGTTACTATTGATGGAGGTCATGTTCAAGTGCACTTGCATGGACCTCATTGGGCCATTTCACTGGAGTGCATGCGGCTTTGTATTAGTTCTGATGGATTATGCAACACGATGTCCTGAGGCCGTGCAGTTGCTCTTTCAGGTAATCTCCTGAGTTGGTATCCCGAAAGAGATCATGACTGAACAGGGCACACAGGGCACATGTCTTGCACACTAAAGGAGCTGTAGGAATTACTGGGCATTAAATCTGTTTGGACCAGTGCCTACCACCTTCAGACTGACAGGTTGGTGGAGCGGCTGAATAAAATTTTAAAGTTGGACTTGATTAAGGAAAACTGGGAGGAAGGTCCAAGCCCAGCGAAAAATGACAAATTCAATATGTCCTGGACCTGAGAGCAAAGCTACACAATCTGGGGAGGTTATGATGGGAGAATTTGCTCCATGTCTAGGAATTTAAGCAGCGCCTGTACAACCTAAGGGCTAACGTTTTCACCAGGAGATAAAGTGCTTGTGTTACTCTCATCTTCTAGCTTGAAATTACTCACCAATTGGCTACATGAAGGGTCCTTCCTTCATGTCACACAGCGACATGAAAAATATGTTTCACTCCTTTTTGCAGCGGCCTTCTTGATGTCAGATCTGTAGCATGATGTCTTGATAGCTCAAAATGCACTAAAATATTTTTAGACAATGTTCCCTAATCACTTTGACCATTCACCATAATTGCCTTCCAGCAACTGCCTACACTTCCCACAAAAACATAAATCAAGTTGAAGGAATACTTGGGAGAGAAGAACCAGAGGCACAGGTACAAGGGGACATAGAAATAGAAGTACTTCCACAGAGATCTTAAAATAGCAGACGCAGGCAGGCTTTTGATTTTAAGAGACCTGTTATTAGAACATTTTGGGGGGGAAAGAACCTTTGATTGTATTAAAAAGTGTTTTTACCTTTTTGTTAGGGCTAAAGGTGTCCAAAATATCCTTGGTTGAATAATCTATAACAAAACCTCTAATTGGAACTGGACGAGATAGCGATTCCCCATTTACTGCAAAAATCAAGCCATCTTCACATAGAAGAAAGACAGACACACGCACGCACACACACACACACACACACACACACACACGCGCACACACACACACACACACGAATTGTTAAGCATGTATACATGTAAAGCAGGAAGAGAGTTGTTGAGTAATAAAATAAATAAAAAGAACTCTTAAAATGAATGCATCTAGGATATTAGTTCCAAGTACGCATAAAGCTTGTAAACACCGGATCTACATATTTTTGCTAGAGGATGTCATTGTGACCTAACACAACAAAGGATGAACATTGATTAACATTAAAAAAATAAATAAATATTGAGGACACCACTTAGACTGAAAAGTAAAAAAAAAACTGCAGAAGGTATGCACAAAAATATATTTTACAATAGCTTATTGCAGTAAGCAGCAAGAAAACAAGCTTAAGAGGAAACAATACGACTACTGACTTCTACTGAGTATTCAGTAAACTTACCCCCAGTAGGGCTGTAGGAGATAGCAAACACTTCCCCTCCAAATTCATCTTTTTTAATTTCCTTGACAAACTCTCCAGTTTCTGCTATAAAGCACTGGATGCGTCCATTCTCTCTATCTGCCACACAAATTTCCTTTTTATCAGGAAGTAACACCAGGCTGTGGGGAATATGAAAAGGTATTCGCCTTCTCCTGTCTGATGAGCCTATAGTCCAAAAAATAAGACAAGGTTAAAATAATGTAAATTGTGTCTGGAGACACTATGGTAGCAGTAATCTCTTAACCTTCTGGATCTATTTATGTTAGTTTCATAAATCAAGAAACAGCAATGTTTGCAAATACAGCTTTGCATTTGAAATTGATACATGTATACTCCACAGCTAACACAAATATAACTAATTATAATCTCCACAAAAACTTGTGTGGCAGAATAATAAAGAAATTATATTTTATGAGATGTCACCTTAGTGTCTAATACTTCTTACTACTTGTATGGTTTAAGCATTGTAGCAACTAGGCTAATATCCAAGCTTTGCAGAGTGTGTGTGTGTGTGTGTGTGTGGCTGGTGAGATACCTGCACCCCACTCAGACAGGTATTTGCCATCAGCAGAGAACTTAATTATCCTGGCATTACAGTAACCATCAGAGACAAAGATGTTCCCACTTTCAGTGTCAACTGCCACATCAGTGGGCTGGCAGAAATGGTTGTTGTCACTCCCTGGTATAAAGGCCTCTCCTAATGCCATCAAGGTTTTGTCTTTGCCATCACTGCTAACTTTTAACACCTGATGAGTATACAAAGTGAAGCATCTTAAACTTTCCCTTTTGCATTTGTGGTCATTTAAACTAAGTTAATTGATACAACATCCGCTTTAAATACGTAATCCTCAAACCTTATTCTTATAGGTAATATACAATTTCAAAATGTCTCCATCTTTTAATTTATTGGCAAATATGAAGTGCAATCTATACACACTCATTGAGAATGCACCTTACAAAAACAGCAGCTTACCTGATGAAGAGCCACATCAGTCACCCAGTAATTATTCTCTTTGTCTGCTGTTATTCCATGAGGCAAAAAAAACCTGCAACATCAGAGAAATGCTTCATTATAAGACAATTATGACTGTGTTTGAGATGCCTGGTTGTCGGCACTCTAATTCACACACAAAAAAACAATAACAAAAAAACACAAAAGCTCTGTATCACTTACATGTTTCTGCCAGAAGCCTTCAAGATACTGCCCTTGGATGGATCCACAACTAAAATGGCAGACTGCTGAATTGGTCCTAGGGACCTCTGCTGGTATCTTGCCTGATTGTTAAAAGAGCTGGAAAACAAAAAACAAACAAAGAAAAAAAAACATGAATGTCTTTTTGCATTTTTATAAAAACAATGTGTGGTGATTTTTCTAGACGTCAAATGCAACAAAAAGTATTTTTGTTTAATAAGTAAATTGTCATCCACATCACATTATACAAAAAAGTGATTAGAGCTGACTTCTATTATGCACTTTTTTTGTGTTATCTCATACTTATCCTTTCATCCTACAATCTACTGGTAAAAATCACTTTTTCAGCTTCCTTTCCTCCTATTCTTCATTTCTTAGACATGACTGGTAACTGGCATCCTATTAGACTAAAAAAGGTTGCGGTCTGAGGAGACACTAAATGCTTTTCTTAACTATAATAGTAATTTTTTGAACCATCAAGACTAAAACTTATTTGTATTTTTTTGTTATACAATTAATAGAAATTTAATCGCTAATACGAGATCTGTGTTCTTTGCCAGTAAGGTGAAGGCATTACATTAGACTGAGAGTACACAACAATACTGAGAGGGTTTTTTGGTGTTCTTTTGGTTGAAAAAGCTGTTTAAGAGAAGAATGGTTATAACTTAAGTAAAATAAACTTACTCTGCTCCCCAGTGGTGGTCACCTCTGTGAAAAATGACCAAGTTAGAATCTGAGTCAAGAGCAAGTCCTGACACCTGTCCTAGCTGAAGTGAACTCTGTGGCCAAGCTGAAACTTGCTCAAAATGGTAGTCTATAACAAACACACACACACACACACACACACACACACACACACACACACACACACACAC